AGAGCGTACACTGTAGGTAAAAAAAAATCTATTCTTACGTTAAAATTATTTAGTATTAGGCCAAATACTTAAACAATATTTAATGTTCGGCCGAATAGTAAAAATATTACTGAATAGCCAGAACTGAAGTTACCCAATATTCGTTGCAATTCTACTTAAATCTATAATTGCTCGAACGATAATGAATTAATAATCGGCGCTTTTGGTTTCCAGGACACTGGCACTTCTACCACTAACAGACTTCCATCATCTTTCACAGTCAACACCTGTTTTGTATCCTTGTTTTTCGATTGCATTTTTTGTACAAGATCTGAGTCTAAGTTTGTTATCTTCTTTAAGTTGTCAGTATCAGTCATGTCGATCGATTGCAGGATATATACTGGTTCCTGAGAGGATGTAGAATCACCTTTTGTAACAGAAATTTTTTTTTAAGATACATTTACACAGTAATATATTAAAATCTATTGGTAAATACTTGCTTGTTGGTAACGTAGGGGTGCCATTCGGAGAATTGCAATTTGTTTGTTGGAAAGATGTCAATGGCGGTGGCGTAGTTTGAGTAAAAGGTAAGATTTGAGTTGGCTTCAAAAGTGTTACCTGTACTGATTCATTCTTGCTAACATCAGAATTATCTGTAACATATCAATGTCAATAACATAGACTCACAAAAAAAAGTACTCTGTGCTGGGCTGGAGACCCAGCTATTCTTATGTATTTTGAGTCGCTGAATACAAATTTGACATCAAAATAGGATCATCCAGCCTGTGTAATTATAGAAAACTCGAAACAATAGCCGCTTTCCATTTTCACACAAGTGATATTAACTTCAAAATTATGTAAATATTTTATATTCAAAATGACTTTACTACTTGCTTTGATGACAAAGTGATCTAATAATAACAAAGGTTATTAAACCTCATTTTTAATGTAAGTAATTAACTAGACTTAGTAAAATACATGGTGAGCTTATGCAGATTGTAGGTAAAAATTCTGTTGAATCTCACTTATTAGAATGAAAAGGAATGTACATTCAACTGAGTTATAACATCATAAATGAGATAATTATCTGAATTTTGATATAAATAGAAAGCAACTCATGATATTGCAATATTTCATTTTTATTTAATTCAGTGATACTCAACCTGTCTCATTCTCCTTGTTTCCCAAGCCATTTGCCTTGTTACAATCATGTTTTGTAACCTCAAGCATTATGTTCCCACAGTTATCACAAGATAAGGATTCTTTGGTATGATTCCTCAAGTGATATACCATGAATGAATCGATATCTGTAGTGTATTTACACTTATTACATCGCAGCAAAGATTTTGATGGTATTTTCTTATTTCCTGGATTTGAGTAATTCTCGTTTGATTTGGCACTGCAGGCAATCTCTTTCATCCCAGATCTCGTGATCTGCGGTGGTTGACATGGGTTTGGTTTGTCACCACTACTGCGAAGCTCTCCTTCGTTCAGAGAATACTTTTGTTCTAAAAAGCGCAGAATATGATTCCGCGTATCACGCATTTCAATTTCCAATCTATCTAGGGTGTTAACGAGGATACCGCAACTACGGCAGATCACATCTTCCTCGGTTATTACAACCATGTATCTGTAACAAGAAATCAAGCTTATTTAACATCTTGTCGGTAGGAGAGATGCAGGCCGCTTAATTAACGTAGATTCATCACCTTTCGCCAACTAATTCTCCGAGTTTCTGGATTACCCTGGCCTGCGAGTTTTGCGTTCTGCAAGAGGCCAAAGCATAAAAGCGACCCTTGACATTGGCGTCGCAGACAAAACACCGTGTTCGATTCTTCGCTTCTTCGTTGTTGTCGGCATAACTTTCTTTGTCCATCCCGAAAATGTAGGTGAAACTTATGAATTCTCGTGATTGTCAAAATCTTTAAAAGTTGCAGCAACTATAGTCTGGATTAATCTGAAATCCAATATTGAACAACCGAGTAAACGTCGTTAACAATATTGACGAATGTGCCTAAATATGTCGGCACCGGCCACCGTCATCGAAAGCCATAAGATGCTCAAATGTTTCATTTTCAGATGGTTTCAGATTACGTGTTAAGCTAGGTTACGCACAGGCGCAGTGTATATTGCTGTGATAGGCGAGGAAACAAATCTACTGAATGAACATGGGTGAACTGGATCCAATTAAACTGGATTCCGAATTCTTTCATCCGAATCAATTTGTATTTATGATGAAATTTTTTGTAAACTATTACATGCATTTATTTGCATTGTAATATGATTGTTTTTTTTGTAGGTTTTTCTTGAAATATTATCTCCATTAGATGCAAAAAATATGCGAAAAATAAAAAGAAAAATACAAAGAATGAGGAATCAAAACAAAAAAATTATGACAATAAAAATCTACGAAAGTAAATGTTTCTTTTATATATTTTACTTATTTTAACAGAAAATACCATGCTTGTTAGTGAAAGTACGTAGTTTTACATTTAATTTTTTTTAAATGAAAATGCTGTGACAAGTGAAAATGTTTTCTAATTATTTTTCAAAGACGAGAAGTATGATCTTTCTGTCAATTATTAAATGCTTCAGAAATATATTAAACAGATATAATTTGAGTAAAACTTATAATTAAATTTAATATAGATATATTTAATTTATTTATTATTAATTTAAGAAATAATTATAATTTATTTCAATTGCATTAAATCAAATCGAATAACAATTAAATAGGCGAATATTATCTTTGATATTATTTATTGCGTCTTTCAATGTTTTTATATATTTATGCATAATGTACTAATATGTATCTATATATTTATAGATAAAAGTTATTTAAAAACTCATAAAATGTTATCTCTAACACAGAGAAAGCAATATCTTGTTAAAATTTACTGATATATTCTTTAATTTATTCGAGTCACTTTAGAGAAAATATAATTTTATTATTTCGAACTGAAATATAATTAAGATGTAGTTTTACATGAATTTTTTAAATATATTTCTTATTTTGAAAATTGTCTAAAGACATTAAAAGTGAAAATTTAATAGTTAAATAAAAACGATTAAAAAAAGAATTATATAGAAGCAATTATCTTTAATTAAATTATATCTTTTTATCAAACAAAATAGAGGATTTTTGCTATATCGTATTGAAATCAAAAGAATGTATCAATATAAGTATATTATGTTATAATGCAAACATGAAATATTTATTAAGTAGAAGTACATAAAAGTTTCAACTGTTCGCGTTTAAATGTTTATAAATAGAGTTTCTTAAATGAATTCTCTTTTGTTTTTTTTATGTAAATGTTAGTTAATAATAATTATAAATATAATTACAGAATGACAATAGACATAATTGGTAAAGAGTATCATAATGATATAATTAGTTTAAATATAGAAATTGATAAAATACGACATATAATTGTTCTTATTTTCTTACTTAAGCAGTATAAAACCATTTGAAACAACGGATTTGAAGCGATGGAAATCATTTGCGTCATATATTAACTTATACTGAAGGAATTTTAGCTGAAAGTTCATATCGTAGGTAATTCATTATTGAATTAGGTAGGTAATTCATTATGAATATTTACATATTTTAAAGACATAGTTTATAACAATTTACATCGTATTTTAATTCTAATACTTCAATAATTATTCATTTTAATCTTATTTTAATATTATATGTAATATAATAAAAACGACGCAATATTAAATTTTATTTTCTTTCTTTCGAAAATTATGTTTTTAAGGCATTTTCTCTCTTTAGTCTCAAATTATAAATCAAAATATACAATATTTTTAAAATTTGTAGATTCATGTGGGAAAGGAAATGCAATTTTTAACGAGAAAAAATTTATAATAAAAGTCTGCCCTTGGAGAAAAATATTTAAAAATTCATTCAACTCTGATCAGTAAAGTGATCGGAGCATTTGAATGATCGGTCGTTGGATTCTTTATCTTCCATATATTTAAAAAAAAGTGAGTATTTAAAAAAATATTTTTTACTTAAAATGTCTTGTGATTTTAGAATTTATATTAATTTATAGTGTAGAACACTGACAAAAAGTTCATGCACTGAATTTTTTTCTGCTAACGTCACAATATTGTAGATTTCTATATGATAACGAATAGTAGGAAATCTAACGAACTCACAATCGTTAGTGATCAAAATTATACTGAACAATTGTGTTCATTAGACTTCCTAAGTTCTTACTATACGCCACGCCATCATAGAAACCTACGTTGCTATACGTTAGCAGAAGAAAATTCAGTGCCTGAATTATCACGTATAAGTTAAAATTTGATATCTTGAAGCATCATATTATAGTTATTAAAACTTTATATAAATACATGAAAAGAACGATTTTGTTGAATTATTTAAAAATTTAGATAAATATACAGACTTGAAAATAATTTTTTTAGACTATTAAAATAATTATATAGGAAATACAAGCATGATAAGCAATGCTGCAAAGAGTTTTGACATTCTAGCAACCAATTTAAGCGTCCTGTATAATTTATTTTATATTAAATTATTTTGCTAATCCAACAAAATTATTTTCAAATCTGTATCTATGTATCCAAATTTTTATGATACTTCAGCAAAACCGCTCTCTTCCTCTATACATCCGTCTCAATGATGGTATCTGTAAATACAAAAAAAAGATACCTAATCACTTATTTGCTGTTCATAAAATTAATTCTATATACATATATATATATATATATACAAATATTTTGCATTAAAAGTTCTTTAGAGAAGAATTATCATTTCGAGACTTAATTATAGCCCTCATATGTTTATTTGGCCTCCTCCTTCAAAGTGTTCTTCAATGTAATAACGAATTGTTATCAAATCGAAAAAGTCACATGATAACGAAAAGGAAAAACGGAAAATATCGTATCGCATTTGGTTGCCGCAATTCGCGCGCGTATGACCGATCTCTTCGTGTCGTACGAGCAGCCTAAATATAGAGTGACACTGTGGCATTAATTTGTTGAATGGAAAGATAGGTGCGTTCATGCTCGAGGGGGACCGAGCATCATTGTGGGGTAGATCGCGACGGGGTACGGCAGAAATCTCGGCATCCGTGCGAGCCCTACCTCAAAGTCGTGTTCGGTTAAACGTTCAACTAAAAAAAAGGGGTAACTCCATTCCCCTTCTCAAAAGTTCCGCATTCTATACTGAAGATCTCGGAAGTGATCTCGCACGTGGAAAAAGCAGAATATTTAGCAGGATGCCGAGATAAGGACCAGTGCAAGAACATTGACGGTACAGGAAGACCGCATATTTTGGATCGTGACAACTGCGTATGTATCGCTTGCGATTTCCGCGCAAAGCTAAAACACATCGATCATATTCCTTTGACAATGGAGTCTTTTTGCTTCTTTGAAGTTGGGAAAAAATATCTGAAATAAAATATAGACCTGTCCATCATACTGCGCGCGTTATCTATATAATCAAATTGTTATTTGGTTTGAAATTTCGTTTGAAATTTAGCTTTTGATACAACGATCGTTTTGCACGACTTTATGATTCCTAATTAAATAAGAAAGACGGGATCTTTTCGTCATACGTTATCGTCGTCGCGAGACGTAACGTGCGATATGGGAAGTATTTATTACGACACCGCAGTGCACAGGACACCATGAATTAAATAATAAAATAGGACAAGGTTGTGACGATGAGAACGCATTCGGTGAACGCTATGATTCCCGGAAGTGGCTCGTTATTCATCGTCCGTCATCATCAAGACCCTTGTCTACTATATGTCATACCTTGTACGCGCACCTCGCGCTCGTGCGCGCGACGACGACGATGACCGCGGGTATTATCATGCGAGAACGCAAATTTCATCTATTATTTATATTAGGGACTTATCGTCATCCCCTGCATACTCTTCTCGAGCCTCTCGTAACACGTCCGGCCGCTCTTAAAGGGTTTCCTGTTTGTTAAGGTCGGCGCAACTAGATAGGACGAGAGGTCACGTCACAAAAACTTCCTATACATAGACGACAATTATCAATCAGCCCTTCGTTCCTCCCTGTCTCTTTCCACTTCACCGTCATTTCAACGGCCATCCCGTTCCAGCGTTTTAATCAGAAAGAAGAGCACAAGTTACACACAGTTGGCGAGCCGATCTCCACTCACGACCGGCCTGTTAGGATGAGGTGAGTTCTCCAATTTTGATCTCATCCCGCGATTTCGTCGCCGCAACGAATAATGCCTTCAAGGGGATCGACCGGCCGTCCCAAGGTAGACAGATCCACTAGTCCTCTGCCGAGGAAACCGGCAGCGAGTCCCGTGAATCCAGTGCAGGAGCTGAAGGCCCTCTTCTCCGAGCCCACCAGCAACCGAGCTCCCTCCAATGGCGAGAAAGAGTCGGACTTTCGATTTGAAGCGATACAATGCCTGCGACAGTCCTCGATCATCAAGAGGCCCAAGGACCTACCAGAACGAGGGAACTGGAGCAGCAAGGTGAGACATCGGTCAATCTGCACAATGTTTAGAAGGAACCTGGATTTAACTTATAAATACAATTTCCGTACTTTTCTCTTTTAAAGATCGAATTTATTTTGTCCGTCGTGGGACTGGCCATAGGTTTGGGAAATCTATGGCGATTTCCATACCTTTGTTATAAAAATGGCGGCGGTGCTTTTATGGTGCCCTACTTCATCGCGCTCGCACTGGCCGGTATACCTATGTTCCTGATGGAACTGTCCTTAGGTCAGATGCTGACGATAGGTGGTCTAGGTGTTTTTAAAATAGCACCTATTTTTAAAGGTGATTTTTAGAAAGCACTCTCGGGGGTTTTAGTTTCGTTAAATACTTTTGGGAGGATGAGTGACAATGTTGATCTTCACACAGGCATTGGGTACGCAACTTGCGTGCTTTCCTGCTGGACCAATGTGTATTACATCATCATTCTCGCTTGGGCGCTCTTCTACTTCTTGGTCTCCTTACGTGCTGGTGAGTGACTTTATTTTATACACGGTGCTTCTGCAAGCGGTGTTATTTTTTGTTTTTTTTGGGGGGAGGGGGGCTGTAGAAAATCAGAAATTGTTACATTTGTTCAATATAAATTTTGCACAGACGTACCATGGAGAACCTGCGACAACTCGTGGAATACGCGCTACTGCATCACACCTGATGAACGTCTGAACGTGTCATGCTGGCAGGACGATTACTGGCCAAATAATGTCATATGTGCCACATCCCTCGGGAATTTGAGTCACGGACTGTTGAAGGATCCAGTAAAGGAATTTTGGGAGTAAGTTACTGTTCCAGTAGACACCTTACTTAATCAATTACAGTGCAATCAAAAAGTATCTGCGCCTTTTGTTACAAAAAGGAGGCGCACCCTAATGATATCCTCAGGCATCGAAGACGTAGGTAGTATAAGATGGGAACTAGCCGGTACTCTCGCGGTCGTATGGATCATGTGCTACTTTTGCATCTGGAAAGGCGTTAAATGGACCGGCAAGGTAAAATGAGCTTATGACAAATCTTGACCACTTTCGGACGTAGCGTATGAATCACACAATGTAATACAGGTAGTCTATTTCACGGCGCTCTTCCCATATGCCTTGCTGGTGGTATTGCTCGTGCGAGGCTTGACGCTTCCCGGTGCTTCGGAAGGTTTAAAGTATTACGCTACACCGAATCTCTCGAAACTTGGCGATCCTGAGGTAAAACCATCAACACAACGTCAATTTTTCCTTTAGTTGTACTAGAATATAGATATTACAATTATTGGCATGATTATTGTGTGCAGGTATGGATAGACGCGGTGACGCAGATATTCTTCACTTACGCTCTCGGCCTAGGCGCGTTGGTAGCTCTAGGCAGTTACAACAAATTTAACAATAATGTTTACAAGTAAGAATCTTCTATCTTTCATGGATTATTATTTTTTATCCTTTTTATTTAATTTTATTATTTTTGTTGCATTTTATTTGCTTAATTTTACTTTATTATTTCTATTTTTTATCTTCACGTTATCTTATTATTTTCGTTCAATTTTCTTTTCATGTTTATATCCTATATTATTCTATCTGAGTTCTAATGACTTTTGCTTGTTTTTTTTATACTGCAAAGTTTATTTTAGCACTTGAGAGGATGTCATCCCAGAGCGTATAATAAAAATCATTTAACGGATTATACATATGTAGTCTTTTTGATACATTATAGAGATGCTCTCATCGTATGTGGAGTCAATACTTGTACCAGCCTGCTTAGCGGAGTAGTCATATTTTCCGTGGTCGGTTTTATGGCTCATGAGCAACAGAAACCAGTGGCCGATGTAGCTGCTTCTGGTAATTATCCTTCCTTTTAATCTGTTTCGAATTATGACACAATAATAATTTTGTTGTATTAATTATTTTGATCAGGACCCGGTTTAGCCTTCTTAGTTTATCCCTCAGCGGTATTGCAACTACCCGGAGCGTCAATTTGGTCGAGTCTATTCTTCTTCATGCTTCTCCTAATAGGACTGGATAGTCAGGTAACGTACATTCATCGAATCCAAGGATTGACTTCTGTTATTCTAGAACTATCACGGATTAATGTTAATGTTAAAAATAAGTCGCATTCCAGTTCTGTACCATGGAGGGCTTCATCACCGCCGCCGTAGATGAGTGGCCGCGAACACTCAGAAAACGGAAGGAATTGTTTATCGCGATTGTATGTCTGATCTCGTATCTAATCGGGCTTCTATGCGTCACAGAAGTGAGTAGATTAAATTTTCCAAATATCTAAAAAATATTTAATAAGAGTGTAAAAGTATCTTATTTTTTAACTTTGTATTTTTTTACAAGAGAAGATTAATTCAGATTTTTCTTATTAGTACTAATCAGAACTAATTTTGTATCTAGGGCGGAATGTACGTGTTTCAACTTTTGGACACGTATGCCGTAAGCGGATTTTGCTTACTCTTCCTGATGTTCTTCGAGTGCATCTCCGTCTCATGGGCATTCGGGGTGGACCGATTTTATGATGGCATACGAGACATGATAGGCTATTATCCTTGTTTCTGGTGGAAGATATGCTGGACATTTACCACACCTGCTATTTGCGTGGTAAAACTTTGTCCAATTTGTCCAGATTATATGTGACTTCGAACTAATATGCTACTTTTGATTTATTGTATTTCTCTCTTATATATAGGGTGTTTTCATCTTTAATATCATTAAATTCGTCCCTGTGAAATACCTCACGTACGAATTTCCGTGGTGGAGCCATTTGTTGGGATGGCTCGCGGGTCTTTCCTCGATGTTATGTATTCCAGGTTACATGATTTATATCTGGTGCGTTACATCCGGAACTACCTCAGAGGTATATAATATCGTAGAAAAGAATTACATACGTAATATAATTCAAGAATTATTATATAATACAAAAAAAAAATGTAATAATTTATTTCTTTTCAGAAATATCGGAAATTGATAAAAATAGAAGACGATGTTGCTGCCTTGCGGAAGAAACTCAATCCAGTCAAAGCCGCTGCCATCGACGCGGAATTTGAATTATAAAATCGCATTCATGCCTTTTTCAATCACATAGATTATTTGATGTATGCAATGAACTATAGTATGCTAATGGGAAAGATTTGAGCGCGCAATTGAATGTTTGCGATTCAGAATACATCAGAGATTTCACTAGAATAGCATTAAGATGAGATATCATGCGTTTATTCATTTTAAGCGCAATCTCATCGAGAAAAACGACGTTTATTAATTAAACTAATCTATTATATATCTCTATAATCTGCTTTCAACATACCGTATGAAAAGAAAACGAAAATAATAAAAAAACTTTGCGATTCGTTCGAATATGTTTTGATTTATATTCCTCTTATGTCACAATTATACACCCTACGCATTAACGAGATGCTAAAATCTGTTCAAAACAGCTTTTATCTTAACTGATATAAAAATCAAATATTTTATTCTTTTACACTTAAACGCTAAAATATATATGACTCAAAACAACGCCCAATAGGCATCTCGATTATATTTCTGCATTTACGTTATAATAAATTATACTTTAAATAATTCCAGATGTACTGCTCGTTGTGTGCAGCTGACAGTAAAGATTTTAGTTCTTTATTGTAACCAGCTCAACTCATGTTGCAACTTCAGCTCTGCGAATCTTTATCCTGCATCTGTTTAATGCGTATGAGAAGTTGCTCTTTCCACTGTTCTTCCGAGATTGCATTTGCCCATTGTGGAATGCAAGCTTCGGGAATGGTAATGGACGCCATTACGGATTTTACTTCTTTGATCTTAGTTGCATCTAGATCAATGTCAGAACGATTGTGCGGACATGACCAGACTTCCAATACCTCTGAAGAACAACTCTGAAATATTGCAGTGTCTTTTATAATTACAAATTCATTGTGTTTATTATTACATATTAGTGTCACATTATTATCATGCTTTTAAAGCAGAACATAGATATCAGTCTAAATAAAATATGCTAGATCTTTATAGACTATAATTGATTTATTTGCTCGCAAAAAGAAACTTTTTTAGATACTATCCGAGTGTTCGTAAATAGTACAATTAATAAAACAAAATTATTCTGATCCGAACATTTTCATAGTAATTTTCTTAATTAAAAAATGACTTACTTGCTGGATTTCAGTTGCTGGAACAGATGATGCTTGATTAGATTCGCCAAATCCAGTTAGCCATTCGTCATTCTGGAATAAAAAAGGAACGTTTTTAGTTATTTAAGAAATTAAATGACTTCTAGAAGTTCTTCGCATTAGAGAAAAAAGATATTGCTGCTTTACACCTCTTCTTCGCCTAATATGGGTTCAGCATCAGTAGAAACTTGGGATAATGGTAAATATCCCGCCATACCCATATCTTCGTCATCACTGTCTTCCTCATCATTCCCCGCTCTTGTATCCAGGACTGTATTAGGAACTGTCAGATTATCTTGAATAGGTTCTTGTGTAGGCTCAGGCGACATGATGCATTGATAGATTCAGTTAACTCTTTAACAAACATTGAAATAAATATTAACACAAATATGAAAATAAATATTAATATCGAGCATAAGTATCATTTTAACATGTTTGTTGTCATATATGCTATTCGATTCTCATCAATATTGATATGTAAATTGATAATATTGACATATAAATTGATGTCAACATGTAATAATTTTATATGCCATAAAACAAATATAATTTAGTGTACTATTATCATATAACTCAGAGAAAAAAAAATCGTAAAAAATAAACAATAAATAAATAATTCCGATGACATGATTCGAGTAAATTTTAAAACGATACCTGGAAAGTCTAACGAGTTAACGAACATGTTGATTGGTGTGATGACATTATTAATAATGAGAATGATAAACATAAATAAAAACAACTCATCAATAAATCGAACAGAAATAATCCAACGCAACAACTTATCAATAAATCGAACAGGAATAATTCAATGATTGAATTATATATGTACCATTTTCCAAGGCTTGCAATTGCAAATAAATTCCAGATTGCCACGTAGTGCCGATTTTGACAGCTCACCGTCGATCGCCCTCATAAATGCGCCCATATGCGTACGCCATTTTGAGAAAATTGCGTGAGGCACAATCTGTCGAAAGACGTCCCAAGTCCCAAGGTTGCAGCGAAATTTACTTGAATCGTAGTCGGTATCGTAGATCACGTACATATATTTTATATAAATTTATTACACGAATGATTTTTTATGAGGCATAGAAGGTCCTTTATCCAAAAAAAGATGAGGAGAAAAAAGAAAGCACTAACGATTAATGCTAAAAATGCATAACCTTAATTAATTAATCTTCAGATAAACAAATGAGCAACGTACAGTGATATGGCATGGGTTTATCATATATGTGTATGCAGCATGTTTTGTGTAAAAACAATTAATATTCTAGAAAATAAGGTACGTATTTCAAATATCTACACGTATCATTAAAAAATCTTTGCGTAAAACAATTAATTTTTATTGCAGAATTTTTTTAAAGTTAATTGGCGTTTCCTCGTAAAGTCGGATTGTCTCCATACCTTTATCTCCATACGTTCCGATTTCGTTGCGATTCATTGAATTTCTCATAGTTAATTTTTTTTAGATGGAAATGCATCGAACGTAATTAGATTCGTGGCTGTGGTGAGGAGGCGTTTGTCAAAAATCCGCGGTGGCGAACCGTGTCAACGAATTAAAGCTGTACGCAGGCATTAGGCGCTCTTATCGTACTCCCGAGAGCTGGTGGAGGAGAAAAAAGAAAGCGCGCGGGATGAATGACGGGCTCGACGTTAAGCCGACCAAGTTAAAGTAGTAATCCGGTGCATCTCGTAGAGACTGGTATGTTGCGCAGCATCCCGTTCAGAGACATGTCACAGGTCCAGCTTCTCGTCCTTTCAACCTTCCTACTCGCCTGGTCAGGTAATCGGACGTACCGGTTCGAATCTCGCACCGATACGCACAAATCGCTGCCCTCCCCTCTCTATTTCCATGAATTTTATTCGCGACGCGGACCGATTAATCCCAACCGATTAATTCCTCAGTTGTTAATTCCAGCGTATGCGTATCCGGAGGGCACCCTGCTTAATGACAACGCGCGAGCGTCGATCGTCGAGACGGTGCTGGAACGCGAACCAGCAACCTTCAAATTGTACACCAGGTGCGTACAATCCCTTTTAATTAGTTGCAACAACGATTTGCGATAAGATATGAAAGTGGAATATAATGTTGTTCTTGCATCTCAGTGTGATACACGAGATAACAGCTGTATTTATGTGAAAAGTCCAGTCAGTTAGAAGAGGAAACAAAAGAGAATCATTCCCGGGGTTGTACAGAAGACATCCAGATGCTTCACTCTCAGACATGCATCAATCAAGCCTTAAACTGAAATTATATTATATAAGCTGATATTTATTCTGTTCTTATTTTAAGACCGTCTTGAGTAGTATCTTAAGATGCTAATTAATACAATTTTCTGGACGGTATTCATAGTCTGTTCTTCTTTTAAGACCATCTTAAGTAATGTTTTAAGATGATAATACAGCCGTCTGGTTGGCTTATGAGATCTTAAATCTGTACTTAAGACAGTCTTAAATATAAGAGTCGATTATGAATACCGGCCTCTGATTAATTCATGACATCTTAAGATTGTACTTAATTAAGCCAATCTTGAATATAAGAATCGACTACGAATACCGGCCATATACTGCAGGCTTTCATCTTTTTCACTGTCCACGTTTTCATCGTCATATACCGAATTCCCTTGGGCATATTTCCCAAATAATTATTTTATATAATTGCAATTGGCCCAGAGGCTATCTTGACGTCGATCGGGAATCAATCACACGCCGACGCGGCTAATTTCTATGCACCATGGCACCGCTATCGCCGGCTTGCCCCGTGGAGGATGCGTCAATTTTTTAATGATACGTGCAATCAGCGGGCATTCTATTCTCAGCGCTGACGTTCGATCGACTATCGAGTGTTGAGACGCCGCGCCGCGTTGACGCCTTAATATCGCGCCTTCGGTTTGACTCCCGCTCTCCTTTCTTTTTCCTTCTTTTTTATTTCTCTCTTTCCGGCAAACAAGCCGATTGAGGAAGGCACTTCTTAACATTATTATAACTTTTCCTTTTGTTACCTTGAAGAGTAAGAAATCGGGGAAATTTGCACGTTCAATGAGAATCTCCGTTCGGACTTAAATTTAATGTTTATCATGCATTAATTTCATTGCAATGTCTTTCTCACAATATTGCTTCGCACAGGGAAAACCCATTTGGCGAGGAGCAGTTATTCCTGAACAATACCGAAGTGCTGTACGCGTCGCACTTCAACGAGAGCCGGCCGACCAAGTTCATCGTTCATGGATTCAGCGATACCGGAAACGAGGGCTGGATACGTGATCTAATAGACGGTGGGTGGAATTAGGTATTACGTCATCGCGTATTCGCATTCCTTACTACCGCAGCTACTACTTTCGCAAACAATCAGGGTCAGCCTATTTCGGTAAACACGGAATCGACGTCGTTGTCGGTTCAAGGGTCAATGCGATAACGGCTTAATTAATCATTCTGCAAGTTTTTCTGCTCGCTCTCTCCCGCCAGAAACTCTTCGCGGAAGAGTTCCAAGGTTTTTTTTTTATATCCCGCTACTTTTTGATCTAACGATCCCATGTCCTCTAAAATGTTGCTTCCAAATAAGAAAAAAAAACATGTTTTTTTTTTTAAGATAGAGATATAACATTTAATTGCATTTTTAGCGTATCTGCTTTATCAGGATGTGAACGTGATAGTCGTCGGCTGGGGAATCTTGGCATCCGACGCCTATCCGGTGGCGGCTAAGAACACGCGTCTAGTTGGTGAGTACTTAGGCCAGTTCTTGGATTTTTTGAATCGGGACTCGAACCTGGAGTATAAGGACGTACACATCAGTGGTCATAGCCTGGGCTCTTATGTAGCAGGCTTCGCCGGAGCTTATCACGACGGACGTGTTGGGAGAATAACAGGTAGATCAATGAATACGTAATACTTAGGCTCAGTTTTACAGCTCACGGTAAACTCTTAACCGAGGTTCAACTTATTCCTCATTTCTTTCCAATTCTAGCATTAGAAAGAGATGAAGAATAAGTTAAACCTCGGTTAAGAATTCACGATGATCCGGGGAGCTGTGAAACTGAGTTGTGAGCCTCAGTCTTCGTAGAAGAATGCAAATTCGAGTTTGACGATATCAATAAAAAGTATCATAACTTTCTAACGGAATTATTAAT